ACTGTTCACATGTAGTGTTGAGTCTACCGGGCTGAATCTTAACTTACGTAATCCAGTTTTACTGTGGAGCACGTAAAAAGGGGAAGCAACAATGTATGAAAATGAGTTTGTCTTTTTGGATTACAGCCATGCTGATTGGACTTTGGGTCTTTTCTAATCCACCTCTCCTATTCTTTACAAAGCTGTAGCTGAGCTACCTCCAGTTTATCATATTCCTGACAATAGTTTCTGGAAGTGCACATCATCTGACATACCATCCACTCTGTAATCTCGATTTTAATTACTGTTTGACAATGTTGATTTAAAATGGTGTGTTATCGAGCTCGGTCATCAGGAGTGTATTAAAAATTCCTGCTGCGTTTCTCAATGCAGAAGTCTAAATTTAGGGATAGATGATGTAAGCTTCCAGGGATTTTGTGAGTTTGGTAACCCATGCCTACCTTCAAAGAAATCCTGTATACAATGATCAGCTTCCAACACAGGGAGCGCAAGCCTCAAAGCGTTCATCTGCAAAGTGTTCATCACGTACACTAATTTCCGGTGACATTCCAGCGGGAGTACAGACTTCCTGATCATGACAATACCATTCAGCTATTACTGCTTGAGGCAGAGGAACAACCCAGAGAATGAATCATAAACTCTACAGCACAGCCACTTTTTACATGACTTGTTTATCTACCACACTGATAGGAAATATTTCAGCTTTTCTAAAGCACAAGACATCCCTCTGAGGCAAATTCACACTGGAAAAAAAGTTATTGATAGACTGCCCAGCATTTATAAGGCAGGGGCCAACTTTCTGTCCGCTGGACATCAAAATAACCCTGTAGCTTAATGAATCTCTATTTAGCCTATTATCTGCCAGCCAAAGTATAATAATAATGCCTGATGTTCAACAGAGAGTGGGAACAGGAGGCACTGGAGTGAATGCCTCTGTGGCTGCATTCGGCACTATTTACTAAACAGTCTGACTAACAGCCAACAGGGCAAGGTACTTTTCCACTGTATCTGATACACTTTATAATGAGGCAGTAAAACTGAAGATGCAGCAGGGGATGCACTGATTGGGTAGGAAAATTCCCTTCAGTATAAAAATAGTCTATCACGCCAAAAAGCAATTTAAACACAAGGTTGTGTTATTTTGCCATTTCTCTGTTCAGCACCACGGAGACAGCAAATAAATATGGCTTGTATTTGGCCTCGGCTACAGAAGGGGATATACCATTTACCTATTGCATAGAGAGACATCTATACTGCCCAGTGGGGCTCTGACAAGGGCAATAAAGGGAAAAAGCCACATCATGGATGTATTCTGTCTCAATGTTGCTACCCATTCAGTTCAGTCACAGCTTGATTTCTTAGCAAAGAGTTTCTTGTACTTGTGTATGCACTTCTGACTTCCAGGACCGCATTGGCAACCTGTGATGTACATACATCAGTGAGCAAAATCTTGGTCATATTTGTCAAAATATATTATATAACCAAATAATGTTGGTGTTGATGTGATTATTATTTCTTTTAATTTTGGGAAGTTCAGGAAATTTGCTGTTACAATGGCTCTCTGTGTCATGCAAGGGCACATGCAGACTTACCGATCTGATGCATGTTCCCACCAGTGGCTCCACACTATTCCTCTGACCTACACTTGCCAGTTATGCTCCAAGGGCCCATAGCTGCAGGTTCAGGGCCCTTTCCACCACTAACGGCCTTTTTCCCGCCTTAGCTGCCATATTACGGCATATCTTGGCACATTATCACTACCTGCAGGTGAAAGGAATAATGTCGAGCCATTGGTGGGAACCTGTGTCAGATCGCCCTTGTGCATGTGTCTGTACATGTGGCAAACAAAGTGGGGGCCTGCTCAAAAAAACTACTCAATAAGCACTACTAGAGGTCAAAAACTAATGAATGCTTTGGACCTCTGGTTCTGTCTGCCTGCTGCAAGCCTACCCATGTGAACTCCTGCAGGAACTCATGGGAAAATGCAAAACGTGAGGCGTATGTAGTGCCTTATTATGGTGAAGGGAATTTTCCCAAATGCCTATAGTTACAGGTTTTTTTGTTGTTGTTGTCACACTACCATCTGTGGCTAGAACCAAATGTTGGATTAAATTCAATTTCACATAGAGACAGAATGGGTGTTATTGTGTGAATCCACTCTGTCAACCCTTTACATCACACATCTTCACATACATACCATGACAGTCTCCTCACTGCCTGCCTTTTCTGCTTAAATCTTTTCACCCAAGAACAGAGCAGACAGGTGGTGTGATGGATACAGCCATGGTCTATTTTGTGGTACAATGAAGACCAATAGCTACTCACACTGACCAGCAGTGCAGGGGCTTAGTGTTTAATCAAAGCCACAGAGGTACTGAACTGATTCCTTTAAATGTATTTAGCTAGCAAATTTGGAGAGGTGTGTGAGAAAGTAATGAATACAAAGCCCAGCTGTTCATATTTACTGATATAAATATAGACGTACTCTTCATACCTGGGAGACTTTATCTTTAAATTGATCTTGGCTGCGACCACATGGTCCTAAATCCTTTGGAATTACCCCTAGATTAACAGGAATCTCAAGATAACCACAGACTGATAGTACTTCTTCTTATTGGTCCCAAGTAATAAAACACACAAGTGAAACTAGGAAAGACAAAGCAGTCAGAAATCATGTTAACGTGCTTGCTATCTGTCCCTGGTGCACAATGTTTCCTGGCTCATTCACCAAGCCAAGGGAAAAGTCAAGACTAGTGTCCATGTTTGCAGATATGAAGCATTATTGCAAAAAAGCAAATGTTTGCCCTCAATTCACAGCCCATGAGTCTCGTGTCTCTGTCGCAGGCTGCTGTCTGGCTGTCAGTCAGTGTCACATTCACACCAATGACTGAAGGGTGATGATCACTGGATTATACAAATACGGCTTAAAATGAAATGTTTTGGTTGGCTATGTACAAAGAATTCAAAAATGAATATCAAACAGCCTATCTGGCAAACACACAGATGGGGCAAAAGTATAAAATCAGGAATTTCTTCCATTTGAATACTGATTTTTTTTTCTCTGAAAATAACAACAGGGCTATCACATGGCAGATCTGTAAATACAAATGTTAATGTAAAATATTTTACTTTATTTCAACATGAAGTATGATCCAAATGTTGTCCCCTCTACAACTGAGGTCAGTTGACCTAAAACTAGTTCAGACTCTAGTTAAGATTATTTGCTTTGTTTTACAAGTTAGGGGTGGGGTGACAGTTTAAGCCCTTGTGTCAAGAAGTGACAACAAAAACAAGAGCTTCTTTCATCACAGGTCTAACCTCAGGAAAAATTTGTGTTATGTAAAATGAAAAACATGAGCTTAAAAATAGCCTTTCATGTTACGTGTGCGTAAAGGTAAGACCAATACATTGTTTGACAATGTGCTGTCTGTCATGAAAATTCAAAATATGTCACTTGGCTTGGTGTTTAGAAATGCCACTGACAGGTAACTGAAGCATGGCATGAGATAAGTGTGAAGTAATATCACGTCAACGAACACAGGGGTCCCATAATGTTAACAAGCGTAGTAGTATAAACTGTTTCATTCAGTGTACTTAGGCAAGTCTGAGACTAAGATTGAAGATGAACAGTAACAGGCCATTAGGAGAAAGCAAAGCACTATGACTCACGAACGGAAAGCTTCCAGTGAGGATGGCTTGGATTAATTTAGCGGGCATGCTATAAAAGTCACACACTGAATAAGGAAGGGCAGTACCCAGTAATTGATATGTTATCTATTCAGTAAAACATTGTTGACTGTGCTATAAAAAGGGACAACAGAAAGAAAAACTGCAGGAGAACATTTCACACTCAGACATAACCTGAACCTAAATTTTACGTGAAGATGACATACTATAAAGTACAGTATCACAATATTTTTGTGTGGCAAAATCGTATCGTCAAAAAATGCTAAGTATCCATTTTTTTAAATAATGTAAATTATTAATATGACAAATTAATCTTTAGGTAGCCCACTTTAATAATGTAATTAATTGTTTTTTTCAGTCCACTAGATACATTTTGCTGCTACAAATAATTGGCTGAAGTGACTGAAAACTGTCTCTTATCAGATAAAACAGATGTTGACACCACTAGTAAATTTCCACCACTAGTAAAAGTATGAACCAAAAATAACTATATGTCTAAAACAGGACACCTAATGACACCGTCTACATTAGTATAGGGTCATTTATCAGTGTCAATAACATATTAAACTTAAATAAGAATCCTAATTTTAAAATGTATTGTGCAGCCACTGAAAACAAACAAACCAGCCTGTGCTGTAACACTACACTAGTCAGTCCAAATGAATTATAAGTTATGAAAGACACATAAATAAAGAGTAACGTTACACAAGCATTTGTATGGATAACAAGGTCTACTTCATGTGTGACCACGTATTTAAAGCCCTAAACTGTGAGTTCAAAGTCACGAAACGAGGACGATTTTGCACCCAAAAAAACTCATAAAATGGCTTTTTTCGCAAGTAATGTTGACATTAAAATAACTCACAAAAACACGAAAACGGCACCATATGTGTCATCTGACGCTCGGTACAGGAAGGACCAAATTCTCTTTACACTTTCCACCTGGGCTAAATCGGCGTTAGCCTGCTAGCTAACGGAATCAGATTTGGCTAGCAGGGAAGCTAGTGCCTAACTTTAATCGCCCAAAGAGTTGCTGACTAGCTCAGCTACAGTGTTTGCCTCATCGCCGGACAGTTAAATCGACTGTAAGGTTTATCTAAGATAGCAACATTAACTTAAAAAACTTTATCTGGGGTCAGCAGCAGAGGCTTAGTGCCGACCTAGAGTTTAACGAGATAATTTACAAGCTAACAAAGCTAAAAACTGCTAGCTGCTCGTCAGCCTCGAAGAGGAGGAAGTTGTGATCTGTGATATTAACTAACGTTAAACGTAAGCTAGATCTTGCTACAAAGATTAATCCCACACACACCTACCGTTAATTTTCCACCGGGTTTTCTTTTACTTGACGACAGACGTGTACACGGTTATCTCCATCTCTCAGAAAGCCGTGGAAGTTAAAAAATTGTCACAGCAAACTTCCCAGTACAACCGAGGTACATTCCCCGAGTGAGTCTGACTGTTGTTATCAAGTCAGTGAACGCAACACCTACAAACAATATCGACACTTCCGGTCGGAGTTTGTCCGTTTTTCACAATAAAAGACATACATCCGGTTTCAACGGCTAATTTAATACAGTCTCTTTTTTTTTTACTTAAAGACTACTTTTCATAGGACGAGGTTTGTTTGTTTGTTTGTTTGTTTGTTTGTTTGAGTGACTGGAGGAAAATGTATGACCCTCCCTCGCCCACAAATAATCACATTTTTGAATATGCACACCAAAAGTAGGTACTGGGGTCAACAGTAAACGGCACAGGAGTGAAAATTCTCACCAAAACAAACTGTTTATTTCCTAAGCAAAATGCAAATCCACCTTAAAAATCACATTATCCCACAAGTTGTGTTCACACTTCAGCAGAAACAGCAGGGTGCTTGACAGCCATACACAAAACCAACAAAAGCCAAAACATTATAGACACACACTTATTTATTTATTTAAAGAAAAGATGCCTCTCAAACCCATTTGCAGTTTTTTTAGGGCTCTAAGGGTATTTAAAATAAATAGGACAATCTAAACTTGAAAGTCCCTTAAAGTGCTTAATAAATTATTTGAAGTACTTGCCCAGTTTTTCACTACTCCCTCCCCTATTATAAATAAAGAAGAGTACCTTAAGTAAAACAATTTAATGACACTTAAAGAGCAACTCAACTTTTTTTTTTATTTGGCAAGTAAAAGGTATATTGACAACAAAATTATTCTTAAAGTGAAAGTAAAAGCATGCAGCCCCTCCTCAGTGTTGGATTACTGTTTACATTACATTATTATTAGACAATGATGATGATAATGATGATGCTGATTGTTATTGTGGTTGACACATTAACATATAAGCATCAGTTTGTTTGCAGTAGCATTGTTTGGTTGTTTAAATAACAATGATATCTCATACACTGATCATATGTTTTAAATTATTCCTCAGTGTAAATAGCAAACATAAATGTAGAATAGATGCAGTTGTGTGGAATAACATGATTTACAAAATAATGAAAACACAAAATCAACACCAAACAACTTAAGGTGATTCTACTAGTGCAACCATTTTTATGCCCTACAGTTAATTTGTCACTGCAACTCAGCAATTACCCAAATGCATGCCATGTAGAGGTACTTTAACTAATTCCCTTCAAAATATAAAAAAAGAAAAACTAAAACATACAGAAGACTACTTATATCAAATTCCTCTGACATAAAATGGTTAATCTGCTCTTTTAATTTTAAGCCACGTTGCTCAGAGGAAACATTTCTTCCTGATAGCAGCAGTTGACTCTGACACGTTGCCAGTGTTTGTATAGCAGTGGAAATACTGCTACCATGTGGCCACCACAGAGTATTGTCTTACATCCATCAAGTATCATGTCATTCCCACTGCGTAGGGACATTAAACTGTAGTACATGAGCACACACGCTCCTGTCACACACACACACACACACACACACACACACACACACACACACACACATTGGCCTGCAGACTCCTCACTGGCCTTTTCTTAACTTTGAGAAAAGACACATGACATAGTAAAACTTATAATGTGTCTTATAATGTCAGATTCCCTGAGGCCTCTTGATATTTGTCGGTAGTTTATGAGACAGCATTGTGCTCAACTTTTGTTTTTATATTTCATGTCTTCAGCTCTCACAGCACACTGTGTATGATAATAAAACTGACCTTAATGTTCTTGATTCCCCCTTAAATCCTCCCTCAGAAACTTTGACATTTAGATGAAACAGTTTTCCGAATAGTATGATAACATTGCAAACATATCGTATACACTATAAGCTATATTCAATACTGTAACCGTATTGTGTGTAATGTTTTTACATGATTATAAATGGAATAATATAGATATCTCCTGCATCACTTCAGTGTAATTCAGCATAATATTGATCACTTTTCTTGAAAATATTTGGTTTATGATTTTATCTCAGTTTGAAGTAATGTTAGGTGGCTTTCCAACAAAGCCTGTCCACACAAGGTTGTTGGGTGCTGAATATTAGTCCAGGGGGGATCATCACATCACTGTACGTGTCTTTACTTTTCAGACCTGTTGAAACATGTCCACCATTTAACTAAGCAGTCAGTCTCATGAGGCTTTTTCTCTTCTCTGTTTCTTGGTAACCTGGGTGAAAAGAGGAGTAAATGGAATAAAATTTAAATATAAGATAAAAGATTGTTGAACCACTAGCTGTGGCATTAAAACAAACCTGTCTGGGGTGGAAAATAAAATGTAACATTAGAAATATTGCTTTTGACCTCCCTGTTGACCTGTAATCAGTCTCATGAAAATCAGATTACTGACATGTAGTCTAGTAGCATCACATGTCTCTTAAACTGAACACATTGGGTTTTGGACTGTTGGTCAGACAAAACAAGCAATTTCAATAAGTCACCTTCACCTTGGCAAAGTTGTGTGGGGCATTTGATTTAAATATCATTATTATTTTCTGATATTTTTATGGACCAAATGATTAAAAGAAAAGAAAAAGAATTACAATCAGCAGAGTAAAAATAATGAAGATAGTCATTTGTGGCTGTGCTGCTAGACTTTAAAGTCACCAAGTTATAAAATGAAACCCTAACATCATAGCAAATAGGTGTATACAATTAGTATAAGAGTAGAAGTAAAAAAAATATTAACAACACAAGAGCGAAGAAAAACAAAGTTAATGTATTATTAATGGAAGTGGGTTTATTATGTAAAAAGCATACACCAGAATAATATATATATTATTATTGTATGCTGATTAAATGATGATACTTGGTGTTGTCTTTATTAATAGTAAACAGTATAACATATTAACATATTATTATAACATATAACATAGTATAGAATAGTATAGTATAGTATAGTATAGTATAGTATAGTTCAGTACAGTATAATATAGTGCAGTATAGCATTGTATAGTATAGTAAAGAACATTGCAGTACAGTACAGTATAGTACAGTACAGCACAATACAGTATAGTGTAGTACAGTATAGTATTGTATAGCATAGTTTAGTCTTGTCTAAAGTATAGTAAAGTAGGTCTTTAGTATAGTATAGTATAGTATTTTATTGTATTGTATTGTATTGTATTGTATAGCACAGTTTAGTCTTGTCTAAAGTAAAGTATAGCATAGTAGGCCTATAATAAAGTATTGTATATAAAAGTATAGTATAGTATAGTATTGTATTGTATGGCACAGTTTAGTCTTGTCTAAAATAAAGTATAGTGTAGTAGGCCTATAATAAAGTATTGTATATAAAAGTATAGTATAGTCTAGTCTAGTATAGTATAGTATAGTATAGTATGAGGTATAGATAGAAGATATCGTGTAAGGTACAATGTAATAGTTGTAATGATAATCTAATAGAATAGAGTAGATGTACAACGGATGTATGTCTGTGATATATCAACGCCTATGTACAGAGATGTTGAGGTTGAGTGAGCAGGTTGTTTGACATCTCGTGTGTTCACTGAATATCTTTGCTGTGTTTGTTTTTGACAGCCACTGGAGGACCTCTGTTGGCGCGTGCGCACACGGTACTTCTTCAGATGTCAACTGCACCAGAGCAGAGAGACAACGGACAAACACTTAGCGCGAGCTCGTTAGCTTGGTGGGGAAGTAACCATTCTTTGACCAAAAGCTTCTCCAGCCTGAATAAAGTAATGAGGTAGACAGTCGGACAGCTGACTACACTTTCCTGGAGTACAATAGACTGGCAGTGCCACGGTGAAAATGGACAAGGAGTTTGAAGACATAGACTCAGAGGGCCGGTGGCAAAAACTGTACCTAGTAAGTCTGTTAGCATTGCTAGCACAAAGCTAATAGAGATAGTACTTCCAACGCGCATTAATTTAGCAAGCTAACAATTCGGCTAGCTCATTAAATATCCGATATGTAACTTATTTATGCTCAATTTTCTAAATGTTTTTGTTTTTCGCCGGTTTTAATGTTTTCAGTTTTACTGTAGACACTGACACACTTTAATACGATAACGTGAATGTTACCGTAAGATATGTTATAGGCTTGTGCATGTGGTAGAAGCTCACTGTAATAAGCTACACCTTATCGTATTCACTTGTTTGACTTGTATACTCCATTTTACAAGTCGCATTTTATTTTGATAAGTTGTATAATGTTCGGGACTGAAAGTAAACTGCACACTGTGATTAATAGACAATCACATTTCAGTAGGAAGTTACTGGTTTAATGTTGGCTCATACAAGTACAAGTAGTGGTGTGATTGTCAGTGTAATTTGAAAATTAAAAAATTTGATATAATATATAATTTGAAATTAAAATTTGATATAATAATTGTGCATCTGGGGTTTTCTTGTTTCTAACGTAAATAATCTGTTATTTCCCCAGGAAATAAGGAATCAGTCTCACGAGTGCTCCTACAAAGTGGCAAAGTATCCAGAGAACCGCAACCGAAACAGATACAGAGATGTCAGTCCATGTAGGTAAACATTTGTGGAGAGTTCAGCCAGGTTACAATCTGATGTTCCTCTAAACCTCAAACAGTGTCTGTCAATCCTCAAATCATTTTCCCCTCTCATGCCGCCTGCAGTTGATCACAGTCGGGTGAAGCTGAAGAGCGCAGATAATGACTACATCAACGCAAGTCTGGTAGTCATGGAGGAAGCCCAGAGAAGTTACATATTGACTCAGGCAAGTCCAAGGCTTTTTATTCCAGTATAAACAAGCATGCGCTATTATTATAACCTTAACACTGTCTTCAGATTGCTTGGTTTGTCTAACTAAACAGTCCACATTGCAAAGATATTCAGTTTACTCTCACATAAATCAAAGAAAATCTGAAAACTCCTAACAGTTGGGGAACCAGCAGCTGAAACTATTAATTGGTAATTTTATCTTAGTAGTTGCAAATGGAATTTTCGTCAACTGACTGATGAGTTCATTGACTAATCATTCCGGCTCTGAAATAGTTCACTACTATACTTA